CTGTGTTCACATTTACAACCATTGCAGATTCCTGGAGTCATGTGATCTAAATTCAGGCCCTTGGCAACTGGCATGTATTTATAACAGTTGCATTGTCCTGGAGCCATGGTGATTACCATGTGTAACCTTCCCACCCGGCTTCCAAGAAGCAAAGTCAATGGAGGAAGCCAGATTTGCTTAATGATCACATGAATCACTTAACAATTGTAGTATTCACTTAACAACTATGGCAACAAAGTTCATAAAATGGAGCAAAGTTCACTTAACAATTGTCCTGTTTAGCAATGGAAATTCTGGGCTCAGTTGTGGTCATTAAGTCAAGGACTACTTGTGTTAACTAGTGTGTGTCCTCAGTCCATAAGAGATGATAATGGATGGATGGATGGATTGATCTTCCTAGTAAAACTGAAATTTTTTTATAAAGCCCATAAAGGCACAAAGTGAATTAGATATATAACAGTAAGGTAAAGGTTCCCCTCGCACATACATGCTAGTCATTTCCAGTTTTAGGGGACAGTGCTCATGTCCATTACCAAGCCGAAGAGCCAACGCTGTCCAAAGACGTCTCCGTGGTCATGTGGCCAGCATGACTAAACAGAACGCTGTTACCTTCCCACCAAAGTGGTCCCTATTTTCCTACTTGCATTTCTACATTCTTTGGAACTGCTAGGTTGGCAGAAGCTGGGACAAGTAACGGGAGCTCACTCTGTTACACAGTGCTAGGGATTCGAACCGCTGAACTGCCAACCTTTCTGATTGACCAGCTCAGCGTCTTAGCCACTGAGCCACCACGTCCCTATAATCAGATATATATTGATGGCCTATTCTAAGCTGTAAACTCTCTACTTAAGGAGCTCAGTTTTTAAAATTTCCCTAAATGAAATTTAATTTCCTTTGGAAGACTGTTTGGAAAGCAAATGCTGCTCCTGAAACGTAGTATCTCCTAGCTTGACCCCTTTTACTTCATGGAAGTGATGGACTATAACTGTTTCTCCTCACATGTCCTTACTGGTTGATCTGATTCCTGTTAAAATGTGCAGTCCAGGTGCTGGCAAAGTGTCAAGCCATAAAAGGCATTATAAGTAAAAACTAGTACTTTAGAATCCAGCCAGAAGACTTTAGAAAGCCAATGCAGAGCTTAAAGCACAGCTGTTGCTCTCAAAAGCAGGCACCATTTAGCCCACAGATCGCGTCTTCTGGACCGGAATTTCCCTGTGATCTTCAAAGCCGTCTCCATTGTAGAGTATATTGCAATAGCCCAACCAAGTAATAACAACAGCATGAGTCATTGTTAGGTTTTCTGCATTAGGAAAGTATATTGCAATAGCTCAATCAAGTAATAACAACATTCATGAGTAATTGTTGTTAGGTTTTCCTGCACTAAAAAGTCATTTTCTTTCCTTTCTGTTTTTCTTAATTTTTTTTCCTTTTCCTGTACTTTTTTGCTTTTTCTTTTATTTCTTTCTTTTTTCTTCCTTCCTACATATTAGTTTATGTTAGTTTTTACCTTCTTAATTCAATAAAAAAATATGTTAAAAAAACAGTGCTCAGAACTCCCCATGAATCAACCAGGACTTCTTTCAGCTGACTATTGTAAATGGCAGATAACAAAATCGGTTCTAGGCCACAGTTGCCTATTCTTGACATTATCTTGCTACAATTGTTTTTGCAACAAAAATACAAGCCCGATCATTGCAAGTTACCTGCAGATAGAGAACAAACTCTGGAAGTCAGGGTGAACCAGTAATTCCCATCCATGTGAAATGAGCTTTTGCTCAATTCAGCTGCAAGAGAGAAGTTGAACTGACTAGGAGCTACAGAGCAGTCACGGTTCAAATTCTGGATTAGCACAAATGAGTTCTGTAGAAGGGATATCCATTATGATTTTCTTAAAAGAAATTTTATAGCCAGGCTTTCAACTAGTGTAGCTTTTTCAACACAGCCAGGCTGTGTGGGAATCTCGGGAAGTACATTCCCAGTAGCTGTTGAAATCATCATGATGAGAATTCCTAATAGCGCTTGACCATCAGGTTGGAATCAGAGGGGATATTCAGCACGTTCTGACCAATTCTGGAGAACCAGTAGTGGAAATTTTGAGTAGTTTGGAGAACGGGCAAATACCACCTCTGACTGGCTCCGCCCCCATCTATTCTCTGCCTCCCGAGTCCCAGCTGATTGGCTGGGTGTTCTTTTGTTGCCCTGCACAGGAGAACAGAGCTGTAAAGCAGGTTAGTGGGTTGGGGAGGGAATGGGATTTTGCAGTAAGCTTCCCCCAGGAGTGGGGAGGGAATGGAGATTTTACAGTATCCTTCCCCTGCCATGCCCACCAAGCCACACCCACCAAGCCATGCCATGCCCAGCAAGCCACGTCCACAGAACCGGTAGTAAAAATGTTTGAATCCACCGCTGAATAGAATAGAATAGAATTCTTTATTGGCCAAGTGTGATTGGACACACAAGGAATTTGTCTTGGTGAAAATGCTGGTTGGAATTATGACTTCCATTCAGTTCCAGCTATGCTCACGTGAGTATGTTCTTAGGAATTCCTTCATGCTTCTTCTCCCAAAACATCCTATTTCCCTTCTGAATGCTTTCCCTTTTAGTAATGCTAAGTATGAGGTTCACCAGCAAGAAATCATTGAAGATTCTCATAAGTCACAAATGCTTCTTGGTTGCCTATTGAAAAAGAACTTAGATCAGTATTTACTTTCAGACTGTTGCAGATATTCCTACCCACTCCATGTTACTTGTGAGGCAAGACTTCATCTTTGCTTTAAAGAAGTGTCATCCCTGATAACTTACACAAAATGAAAAATATGGTACATTGACAGTGGATCATTTCCAAATAGCATATTATTATCAAAGTCTTCCAAATAGATTCTCCTTTACTTGATGAACAGTGAAGAAAAATGTATAATTATATACCAACTGCACTTGGAATTTAGATAGACAATTCATAAGTAACCTACCAGCAATGTCAGCTCGCCTGGCTTAATCATCAGTTTTACTCCAGAGTCAATATGTTACACAATGTGGTCAAAAGTCTTCAGTTAATGTCTAATTTCATCTAATTTCCAGAAACGTTGAAATATTAATAGGATGACACAACATTTATTCTGCTTCTTGCTCTTTAATCATTATTTCTCAATGGGTTCTCTGTGAAGGCTCAAAAATAGCTGAGCTTTCTATCTATGTCTTCTATTTAAACCAGAGTGAAAACAAAGGAGATGCTGCAGAAATATGAACAACGTATTAAAGATTCTTCCTTTGTTGTCTCAGTCATCCAGCAAATCTTTCTTGCTGTGGAATATCAGAGAACAAAAAAACTAATTAAAATTGAAACTTTTCTGCCACTTCCACAAAATGAGTCAACATGCAGAAAAAAAACCCCATTCCCCATTTAAGGTAAAAATAAAGTCATGGAAGTTAGAGATGATTTTCTAATAGCAAATAGGTGAGGCTTAAAAACAGGGGACCAGGGTTTTAAACTGAGATTGGAAACATTTGGGATATAGGTGCATCTGTAAAAATAAAACAAACAAGAAAACTAGAATGTAATTGCAGTTGTGATGTCGCTCTCCTTTCCTTTATTAAAGAGGAACATTGCATTTTAGGGCCTCTTTACAGATGCCATTTATCCTGCAACCATGTAAGCCATTTCAATATATTGGATACAAACTTTGCTTTTAAACACCTCTTTACAATTCCTACCTTTTATCATATTATTTAAGAGCAAAGGTTCAAAGGTATAACCTTTGATCGCCACAGCAGCCAACCAAATTGGATTCCAGAGGTGGCATTCAGCAGGTTCTGACCAGTTCTGGAGAACCAATAGCGGAAATTTTGAGTAGTTTGGAGAACCAGCAAATACCACCTCTGACTGGCCCCACCCCCATTTATTCTCTGCCTCTTGAGTCCCAGCTGATTAGCTGGTCTTCTTTTGTTGCCCTACACAGGAGAACGGAGCTGGAAAGCAGGTTAGTGGGATGGGGAGGGTATGGGATCTTGCAATAAACTTCTCCCAGGAGTGGGGAGGGAATAGAGTTTTTACAGTACTCTTCCCCTGCCACGCCCACCAAGCCACACCATACCCACCAAGCCACGCCCACAGAACTGGTAGTAAAAAAATTATAATCCCACCACTACTGAATACCCTCTGAAACTCACAAGGGCAATTGTGCCCTGCGGTCTTTGTCCATCATCAACTGGAATTCAAATAGAAGTATTGAGAAAAGTGTTCTGCTCTATAAAACAACAATGCAAAGTCTAAACTCTTTTTGTAGGTCCATAAAGCATAAATATTGCTTTCAGGTTTTCCATTTTATGGCCATCACTTTTTCTGGAGTCATTCCAGAGCTTAATTATATAGGAAGTAGCATTTACTTTACTATGTCTTGATACTCCTAGGATTTAATTTCATCAAATGACTCTGAGGTCTAATATTATAAAAGAGGCAGATTTTTTCCCCCTTTGCTTTGTATCCCCTCAGTCACTGTCACTCCACACCAGGGGTGTCAAACTCAAGGCCCGTGGGTCAGATCCAGCCTGTAGGGTGCTTAGATCTGGCCCACAAGGGCCACCTTGGAAACAGCAAAGAACCACGCCACAGTGCCTGTGCCAGTGAAAACTGAGCTCCTGCAGTGCTCTGCCAGCAAAAACGGAGCTCCGTTTTCGCTGGCAGAGCGCTGCAGGAGGCCATTGCAGCTGAAAATGGAGCTTTTCTGTGCTTTTTCTTGAGCTTGCCAATGTATTTGCATTTTTCACAAGTGCCTGTGCAAACTGCTGTTTCTTGGACTTACGTAACACAACTCTTGATACATTACTTGTCCTGTTAATAATATCTACATTAAAACTAAAAATCCCTGGTAACCTATGAACTTAGTTGCCTAATTGTTAGATATTACAAAACACCCTGACTAAATTCGTCAAAGTAAAGGAGTGGTTAAGTTTTTTTGGGTGGAGCTGGGAAAGTACTATTGTTAGCTAAAAAAGAAGTAAGCTTTTTGCAATCCATATTTTGAAGGCAAACTGTTTTGCACCAAGTAGAATAGCCTAGAAGAGGTGAAGTGTATTACAGAATCAAGGACCATGAGCACTGCAGGGAAAGTAAGTAAACTATTATTTCTTTTAATGGTGATTATTCATTTCTGAGCTATACCACAGTATAGAATTATTTCCGCTGTGGTTGGCAAATTGCCCGAGACTGATCCCAAAGTTTTCCTGTATTCCCTATTCACCCTTGGCACTTTTCTTGTCAGTAACACTCTGAAAAACTCTTACTGCATTTAAAACCATTCTTAATTCCAAAAGTTCATTCCATCCACAGCACAGAGGTAGCGTTGGAGGTGAGAGTCTTCTCAACAAATACAAATCTCACATTCCCATTTACATTTGGTGGACTTAAGCCCAATGCTTTGATTCCTGGCTTTTCTTTTAAAGTAGATCGAACCCATTCTAATTAATTAAACAAGAAACATTTCAATGGCTTGCCAACCCATGGAACAGGAAAGAAGCTGAGGAATTATAAAATGTTAACAGGGATTATTCTGTAGAATGTCTGATTCTAGGGAAAGGGGTTGTCAGAGAATAGAATAGAATTCTTTATTGGCCAAGTGTGATTGGACACACAAGGAATTTGTCTTTGGTGCATATGCTCTCAGTGTACATAAAGAAAAAATAAAATACATTCATCAAGAGTCATAAGATACAACACTTAGGTTACTAGTCATAGGTTACTATAAGCAATTAAATCATACATAGGTTACTAATACGCAATCAAAACATACTAGGAAAACAAATAAAACAATATAAATTGCAAAGATACAAGCAACACAGTTATAGTCATAAGTGGGAAGAGATAGGTAATAGGAAGGATGAGAAGAATAATAGTAATACAGTCTTACTAAGTAATTTGATAGTGTTGTGGGAGTTAGTTGTTTAGCAGAGTGATGGCATTCGAGGGGGGGGGAACTGTCCTTGTGTCTAGTTGTTCTGGTTGGTCAAAACTGAGCTCAACAGTCAAGTAGGAAGGAAGGAATTTTGGATGCCAGAAGAGTAGGCTTTCCTATAAATGCGTAATTAATCAACGAATTAATGAGTGTCTTCTCTTAGAATAAACCATCTCTTGCTTCCATTTTCTTAGGTAATCAAATGCAAGGCAGCAGTAATCTGGAAGCCTAAAGAACCATTTAGTATTGTGGAAATAGAAGTAGCTCCACCAAAAGCACATGAAGTTCGCATCAAGGTAAAGGAAATAAACCGAAACCCATGTTAATGCAAGTTATTCTTATCTATGTGCAACAATCTCAAATGGGATATATTGAGGCGTACCACCTAGAATGATTTCTTCTTTCTTGGGAATGAGGGACAAGACCTGGAATCAAAATGAGACAGACAGAATCCCTTAAGGATTACCTTGGAACCACAGTCCTTCAGGAAGTCTACATGGGTATCAGAGCCCACAGGGGACACTGCCTGGAAGAAAGACTAAATATTGTTCAAACAAAGCTTTTCTCATTAAGCGTGATCAAAAGCTATGATATGTTTTGATTAATTAAAGAACAAAACTTGTACTCTTCATAGTAACTTTTACTTCCATGCATTATATGGCTCTTCCAATAGAATTCTGCTCACTTTTAGATTGCATTCACTGCAATCAAATCTAGGATCTGGTATGTCTGTACACATGACAAATGTCCAGATTCATAATCCACAGTCTTTGGTCTTTGATCAAAGCTTATGCAAGATTTTTAAACATACTGTATCTGCACCACAGACTTAAAATGATTCGATGATGCAGCAATTCCCTCTCTTTGCCGACTTGAAATTTGTGGTAGTGATATCTAGGAATTTTTTTTAAGAATCTTGCTAAACAATCATTCTTGGGAATGAGGGAGTCCTGGCAATCAATAGAACCAGTTTCAAGTTTGGAGAAGACCTAAATAACAAGCAGTTGTCAATTTGGTCTCACCCACCAGATACCATAACATATGGGATCACAATTGTTAAGTCGGTCGATCGGTCCCAAGAAGAGACGCGAGGCAGTGACTGATTTAAAGCTCTTTTTATTTCAAGTTAGTTCTGGCCACCGGCTTTGAGCGCGGCGGCTTATATTGAACTGGTACAGGCGCCGTGGCCAATGACAGCCGTTCGAATCACCCGCGATCAGCTCGGCCAATCGCGGTTGCTTCTTAACGGTCAATCAGTGCTGCACACTCGACCAATCCGAGTGCTGTGCTGTGTAACACAAATCTGCCTCTCATTGGGAAGATAAGAATACCATAACAATTTCACCATCCTGTCTCTGAATGTCTTTGCTTTGCTGTGGGGTTAATATAAATATGGGTGAGTTGGTCTCTTCAAAGTCTAAAGAATTATCTGGTAAACAAGTATGATTAGTTGCTGCAGCAACATGTGTCACAAGTTGGGCAATTGAACAGTTGAAATGGGCTTGCAAGAGGTGCGTCCCTTTATAGTTGCAGACCCATATTTTCATGTTAGGAAGGATCTACTCTAGAACCCCTTTTGTATATAGAATGCTATGTGAACGGTGTTACTTCCAAAGGAAATAGGTGCTATATTTTCTTAAAAGAAGAGGCCGAAAATTAGTTGGGAGGCACAGTGCAGATAAGGGGGCAGCGGGAGGATTGTGCACACGTGCGCAGGGGGCGTGGGGAGTACGCATTGTCTTCTGGGTGCTGGCACGCAAGTGCATGCATGCAAGTGTGCATGCGATTTTTGACACAAGAGCCCCAAAAGGTTAGCCACCACTGCAATATACAGTAAGCTCCATTTTCACTGGCAGAGGGTTGCAGGAGGCCATTGCAGCTGAAAATGGAGCTTGGGAGCCCGTTTTAGCTGGCAGAGCACTCAGGCCACCCCTGACCCAAGTGATGTCATGCTGGCCGTGCCCACCCTGGCCGTGCCCACCTCGGCCCCCCAAGGTCAAACATAACCCTGATGCGGCCCTCAATTAAATCGAATTTGACAACCTGATTTAAATAATTCCAACACTTGTTTCTTTAAAAAAAAAACTTTAACTGCATTTTTCTATGGGAAGTTACCAATTTTAATCATTGTACTTATAGCTCTTCCTGAAAATTGAGGGGTTTAACAGAGAAATCAAATTATTATAAGTTAAGTCTAAAATTGTGTACTCCAATGAGTTATCTTCTACCTTTGTTGTAGATTTTGGCTTCTGGAATCTGTGGTTCAGATGTGCACATTGTAACGGGTGCAGTAAAGGCAAACTTACCTATTATTCTTGGACATGAAGCAGTTGGCGTGGTTGAGAGTGTGGGGGAAGGTATTACCAGTATGAAACCAGGTATGGAAATTCAGTGCAAAACCTTTCTCAGTAAAATTAAAATCAGTTAGGTAATTTATGACGGTTGCCATGTTCCAGGATCATATGAGTCATGGAGGCACAGTGGTTAGAGAGTAGTACTACAGGCTGCTTCTGCTGACTGCTGGCTGACTGCAATTTGCCTATTCCAATCTCACCAGGCCCCAGGGTGACTCAACCTTCTATCCTTCCGAGGTGGGTAAAGTGAGGACTTAGATTGTTGGGGCCAATATGCTGACTCTATAAACTGCTTAGAGAGGGCTGTAAAGCACTGTGAAGCAGTATATAAGTCTAAGTGTTATTGCTATTGCTATGTAATCACCTTTTGTGGTCTTCTGACAAGCAAAGTCAATGGGGAAGCCAGATTCACTTAACCGTGTTACTAACTTAACAACTGCAGTGATTGACTTAACAACTATGGCAAGAAAAGTCATAAAATGAGGCAAAACTCACTTAACACCTGTCTTGCTTAGTAAAATAAATTTTGGGCTTCATTGTGGTCATAAATCAAGGATTACCTGTTGGTATTTTGAGTTCAGAAAGTTAGGAGTGCTACTGGAATTCTGAATGAAAATACTAGCAGTAGGTTAGTAGTATCTCCTCAACTATATCCTACAATAAATTACAAGCATTATTGTTCTCTCCAGAACTAACAAGATTAGTTTAATAATAATAATAAATATCTTTTTGCTAGTGATTCAGTTTCGATGAGAAGCGGCTAAATTTTAACACCATGTCTACCACATGTTCATAATCTGCATTGTTTAACTCAGTGGCTCCCAAACATTTGGGTGCCAAGGATCAGTTCCATGGAGAATAGTGGACCAGGGGGCATGGTTTCACACACTGCCTGCTACATAACCCTACAAAGCCCTACAGCTATGACCCCTATATAACTCCCACATGGCACCATGGGAGTCTGACAAAAGCCAATAGAATACATGTTCTTGCACAGGACCAGGAAGCTCAAGTGCAAAGCCCCAAAGAAGGTATAAATACCCCCCCACACTCTCAATTCCATGTGGTCAGCTGAACCAGAACCATATGCTTGATGGTTGTGCTTCATCTTGCCAATCAGCCTCCATGTTTCTAGCGTCTTTCTCCCTGCTTGGAACTGAACCAGATGGATATTTCTTCCAACATAGCAATATTGAATTAGAGGTGAATTGACTATCTTGCTGGTAAAATCCTGCCACTAAGCTGTCTGGTAGTTTTAGATCCATTGATAATGATCTTTTCCTCATTCTCAGGAGACCAAGTCATTCCGATTTTTCTCCCACAATGTGGCAAATGCAGTACTTGTCTGAATCCCAGGGGCAACCTCTGCAAGAAGGATCAGTAAGTTTCTGTTCAGACTTGTGGCACACACTTTCTTGTCCTGCTGATAACCCCATGACCAATAATTCTGATTTCCCCTGCCATGTTTTTGAATCTTCACAGAGTGTCTGGATTAATGGAGGATGGCACCAGTAGATTCACTCACAAAGGAAAACCATTGCACAATTTTGTGGGTACCAGCACTTTCACAGAATATACTGTGGTACATGAGGATTCAGTTGTCAAAATCGATGCTACAGCACCTCCTGAAAAAGTGTGTCTTATTAGCTGTGGGTTTTCTACTGGCTATGGTGCAGCCATAAATGCTGCAAAGGTAAGCTTCTAATATCTCCATGTTCTAGGTCAGGATAATGGTTCTGAACCTTTCCTTCACCCCAGACCCACTTTAAATACCTTTTGTGGTCACGGACCATGGCCATGGACCTCCAAGACTTAACACAAGATTTAAAACATAACATTTCTTCAAGGCTTCGCAGACCTTCTGTGATGGCATCGCATGCCCCCAGAGGTCTGCGGACCACAGATGGAGAACCACTGTTCTAGGCCATGTCACTTATGAAGCTATAGTGCAGGGGTGTCAAACTCACGTCATCACGGCGGCATGACATGATGTATGGGGACTTTTTCCCCCTTTGCTAAACTGGATGGGGGCGGGGCCAGAACATGATGCATCCGGCCTGCAAGCCGCGAGTTTAACACCCCTGCAGGGGTGAGCTGCTGGGAGTTCACAGGGGTTCGGGAGAGCCCATAGCTAAGATTCTGTGCAGTTCGGAGAACCCCCAAATCGCATTCCTGGCTGGCCCTGCCCAACCCGCCTCATCCCTCCCAGGAGTTCCCACACAGGCCGTTTTGGATGCAGGGCATGCATAGAGACTCAGGGAGGGTGAAAAACATGCCTCCTGGAAGTTCGGGAAGGCTGGAAATGGGCCTGTTTCCGGCTTCCAGGGAGCCTCTGGAGCCTGGGGAAGCCATTTTTGTCCTCCTAGAGGCTTGAGGAAAGCTTCCGGAGCCCAGAGAGGGCAAAAACACCCCCCTGCCATGGTGCAGGAGGCTGACTAGGCCATGCCCACCATGGCCATGCCCACCCAACAACTGGACAGAGAACACTTTACTAAAATTTTTGAAGGCCACCCCTGCTATAATGCCATATATCTGTTCATAATGATTTGACTTCATTTTAATTCCATGATGGAATTCAACATTCTAGAAGATAAAATAAAATGTTGGTGGCTACAGGACAGTGTACTAGTTTAAAAGTGTATTAACCTGCCAGGGCAAAGACAAGTTGAAAGGTAGAAGAGATCATTTTGGGGAGATTAGAGATATTGATGGAAAACAATTTGTCTAGTTAGCCTTGTAGAAAGTAGATATTTGTGACTGGTCACATTTTAAAGCAGCCATTCAATGAATGTGCAATTCTTTCCATGGTATCGATTTTGTGATAAAACACATGAGATGCTCTCAAAATTCCATATCGGTCCATATATTTGTACCAAAAAGATTAATTAACTCTGTTAGTACATAACCATAATACTCCATATTTTTTTATTCTAACAAAGGTGCGGCCTGGTTCTACCTGTGCCGTTTTTGGACTCGGAGGAGTTGGTCTCTCAGCAGTCATGGGCTGCAAGGAAGCTGGAGCTTCCCGAATCATTGGAGTTGACATAAACAAGGATAAATTCCCCAAGGCTAAAGAAATTGGTGTCACAGACTGTGTCAATCCCCAGGATTACAAGAAACCCATCAATGAAGTGATCTTTGACTTGACTGGGGGTGATGGAGTTGAATATTCCTTTGAAGCCATTGGAAAACCTGAAACCATGGTATGTGCATTAAGGTAGCACCACAATAGAAGAACTAAAAGGGACATGGGAAAGTAATTATCTCTTACTAAAAGCCAATGTTTCTGTGGGATTTATTGAAATAATCATTGCAGGAATTGTAGAGTGCTAAGTAACAAAATACAGCAGGGATTTAATCTGGGCAAACCAGAAATAGGGCTGGGTACTCTATTTTTACCTCACCAGGGATGGTCGCAGGCAAAGAAACCGCTTATGTGTATTTCTTCTGCATCCCATTACATATAATCACAGCATGTACTGCACCTTTCAATTTGGTAAGCGGGGGTCGTGTGATTAGGGGAGCCAGTTTGGTTTAGTGATTAAGGCAACATAGTAGATACAGAAGACCATGAATTCTAGTTCTGCCTTAGGCATGAAGCATTAGGGCGAGCACAGCCAGTCTCTTTCTATTAGCCCTAAGAAGAAGACAATGGTAAACCGTTTTTGAAAATCTTACAATGAAAATTGCAGGGATTGTCCCGCCAATCAAGACCAGGAATCAAGACTAACTCAAAGACATGCACACAAATACACCCACAGCTAGACAAGCCAGTGGGATTTTTGCCTTATGTTATACAAAGCTTGTTTTTGTTCTTTAGAGATTTTGCCTGATTTAACATTTAACAAAAGGGTTGACACAATGTCCTGTTCACAAATGTCAAGTCATCTGCAACCTCATACAATGGCATCCTCTGAACCAAGCAATTAAAACGTTTAAAAATCTTGTGAGATCCAATATGTAAGGGTTACAGTTTCTTTCATGGAGATTGCAGGGTGGGAACACAAAATTTTGCATGAGTGTCATAATTTCATGAGATTTTAATCTTGGGATGGATTATTGCTGGCACTTTTTATGCTCTAGGCGCAGGGGTGTCAAACTGGCAGCCCGCGGGCTGGATGAGTCATGTGCAGGCCACGCCCACCCCAGCTCTGCGAAGGGGGGAAACATCACAAAACATCACTTGACAGCAACATGATGTGGCAAGTTTGACACCCGTGTTCTAAGGGGAAAGTAAAGTTAGTAAGAGTTTCTGTAGGAACATGAATCCCTTTCATGAAATGATTGGGAAATTTCTTATTCCATCCATTAATCAAGAAATAAGGAGTGGATGTAAGTCAGTTTAACTCAAATATGTTCACAGCATTGGGCTAGAAAAAGAGAATGGAAAACTTTCTTTCTGCAAATTACTTTATGGTAGCTTATCATGGGAGGGCACTGCCACAATAGACCATTTGAGGAGATGTTATTATTGATACATTTGGAACAATAAAATCCTATGTGAAGGGTCAATGGAAGAAGAATTGTGGTTGGAGTGGTAAACATTGAATTTGGCTTGATTCATGTATATGTCTTTGGATTGACTTTAGCTGACCGCCTTGAATTCCTGCCAAATAAATTATGGAAAGTGCATGATTGTGGGAGTACCCCCTACGGATTCTAAGATTACCTTTGCTCCAAGACTTCTCTTCACAGGCCGCACTTGGAAAGGAACTCTATTTGGAGGTAGGGCCCCTATTTGGCTATTAATACATTCTCTTTCTCTCTCTCTTTTGTACCCTATACTATGGGAAGCTCAATATTACCAGTATACTATAGCAATAGCAATAGTGCTTTACAGCCCTCTCTAAGTGATTTACAGAGTCAGCATATTGCCCCCAACAATCTGGGTCCTCATTTCACCAACCTTGGAAGGCTGGAAGGCTGAGTCAACCTTGAGCCTGATGAGATTCGAACTGCCAAATTACAGTCAGCCAGCAGTCAGCAGAAGTAGCCTGCAGTACTGCATTCTAACCATTGTGTCACAATGGCTCATTATATAATTGATAGGAGATGGGGATCAAGACCAACTTAGCTTACAGTCTCAGTCATCTCAATGCCTAAACAGCTGGAACCCTGTGTGTCATCTTTTCCCAATCACTTGGTTTTCAGTTTCTATCATCCCCAGGTGGTATTATCAATGGTTCCATTTGCAAAAACAGTAGTTGTATTTCAACATAGTTGGAAAGCACCAGATGAGGAAAATGCTCATTGCATCTAATGTTCTGTCATCACTATATTGGACCTAGGTTCTGTGATTTGTTCTTAACATTTTGTTTTCAATCAGTGGAATCTTGACAGACCACTCTTGTTTAAAAATAATGATACGGTTTACTATTACTTTGAGGCAAGAGACACACAAAAACTGTTAATGTTCATAGATTTAACATATTTTAAGAACTAAATACACTTATTGAACTCCACCAGGAAATAAACGTGGAAGGGAAAAAATGAAAATCCTATCTTCATCAACCTATATTAAACATCCCATCCATCCATTATGCATCATTGACCTATCACAGCAATCCGCATCCCATACCCCAATAGATGTAGCCTCCTGCCACCAGAAGATTGTCTCACACTTTACTTGATCTTCTGTCACCAAATTATAGAATCAGATGTAGTTCTGTTATTACTCACAAGCCCAATTACCCTTCAAGAAAAGTTAGAGTAGAGCTCTCATAATTTCACTTACATGGTTGGCTGAACAGCTGGAGGACACCCAACAACCAGCAGACTGCTGCTTTTCCCTAAACTAGTTACTAAAAAGACCACCAAAGTTCAAACACAATAGAAAATTTCACAAATGATTATGTTTAAGTAAAACAGGATTCAGAAACACTACCAGAATTTCAGTATGTCTTGATATAAATTGGAATATCTGACTGCTTCAAGGGATGTTTTTAAAAACTTAAAAGCAGGAATAGCAGGGAGAACTTAACATATTAAGTCAAGTAGCAGAGTTGCTGGAAAAAGAGTTTAAACATTTTGCAGTAGAATTTTTCTGATTTCCTAAACTGCTACCTTTCAGGATATTATTGTTGCAGGGAAAAAAATATTAATCTCTTCTTGTTTTTCAAAAACTGCCGGAGAAAGTAATATTTGTTGCATAAGAAGTAAGTACTGAGTATGGGGGAATATCACAATTGCCCCTTTCATAGCTCTAATTATTTATTTTTTAAATTCAGAGCTCCAATGTTTCATCTCCTGCAGTATATAAATACAAATTGTATTGAGAGGTAGAGAAAAATCCATAAGAAATAGAATTAGAGTTCTCAAACTCCTTATGCAGCCATATTGTTCTTCTACTGGTGCTACTATTTACTTATTTATATCAACCTTTCCCAATTTAATATTCTCCAGAAATACTAGACTTGAATACCAGCATTTCTCAGACAACGTGATCTTTAAAGTCCAACACTTATGGAAAATAGGTTAAGGAAGGTTGATTTTCAATGATGGTCCAGTAATCTTTACAAAGGACAGATATGATATATTTTAGATTCCCTAATACTTTCCTCAATGCATAGAAACAAATATTGAAGCAAGAACTTTAGAATGGGTTGCTTCCTACTCCTTGCCCTCTGAGAACCAGGATTTCAAGAATGAGGAATTGATAAGATCATAGAAATTTGAAGAGAGTCCATAGACTATCCAGTATAGAAAAAAAGTCTGTAATTTATACTGTAAATTCCTTAATTGACAGTAAACTCCTCAATTCTGGGATCAGCAGATTACCTGTTATCACATGACACCTAATCCAATTTTATTAAGAATTACTGCCTCAAGAAAAGCTGTAGAAGTGTATTTTAAATGACCTTGTAAAATTAATGCAGTATCTTTATATCGTTTTTTTTTACTTTCAGACTGGAAAAGTAAAGATACAGTTCCTATGTTGGTTTCAGATTTCATGAACAAAAAGTTTAGCCTAGATCCATTAATTACTCACACTTTACCGTTCGAGAAAATCAACGAAGGTTTTGATTTGCTTCAGTCAGGAAAATGGTAAGACTTCCTTTTTTTTAAAAAAAAAATAGGTTTTTCCCACAGCTTAAAATGAATAAATATGGTCCAAAAGATAATGAACTGCATTAAGTATCCATATAATTAAAAGTCAAAATTCATATTGAGGAATTGTTTGTTTTGCCAACATAAGCTTTTCAAAACAGCTTTATGCCTTAAGTTTCAGGCAAGATCCTAAATTCTAGAAAGAAGAAAATTGTACTAAGAGAATTTGGAGGAAATATTACTTACTTTGCTTAGTGGTACAGTTGGGATGACATAACAGAGGTGTTCACGTTGTTGTGGCTGCATCTTGAATTAAAAATTCCACTCCAGAGACTCCCATTTCTTTTAGAAACTAGATTAAGGCTAAAGTTTTCAAATACTTGCCATTTTATACTGAGAAATTAATTCTGTTGCCATTTTAATTATATTAATTATTCTGAAAATTTTGGCTAAAAATGACAAATCAATGAATACTATGTATTTCAGTTCATTATTAATGAAAAAAGGCACCAGAAAGGTGGTAATCAACTGAAATCAATGCTGATAATTATCTAAAAGATTAAAAAATGTTACAGGAAAGACTGATGTCTCCTCATATTTGTGTGAACATTTGCACCACAAATCATTTCTTTCTCATACTTTCTATTAGAAGGCTGCGGTTATTATTAGGGCTGTCTTTTATGCTGTGCAAAAGGATGAGTAGTGGAGTTGCCTCATTTGCAAAAGAGAATACAGATTTATCTATGTTATTCATTCTTCCACAGAAATAATGGCATGCTAAAAAAAATTAATAGTCTATTTTCTTTTTTTTTTCCCCACCTCCCTTTAATCTGCCTTGGAAGTTCTTACAATATTAATCTATTGATAAAAATAATCATGAATGGTTACTATCACTGGGCTTACTTAAAGTCTGAATAAAATTTCTTAAATTTGCTAAGAAAAGAAATAACCACATTTAAATATAAACTGTTTTCTGGTGTTTCAGCATCCGTTGCGTCCTGACGTTTTGAAGTTTTTGGTTTGGAAGAAAAATAGAAAACTATCATTTCTGTCTCTGAAATCTCCCAGAAATGCACTTTGAAGCATATTTACTTTAATAAACCAGTCAACAGAAACAAAATTACCGTATTTCTTTTCTTACTATCTCTTTTCTCATTGTTCTGGTTCATGTGTTATTATTACTGCTGAATTTATCTGCAAGGAAGACAACCCTGAAGTTAAGGCACAAAAACACACAAAAACAAAGATTAAGCAAAATACAGTTATAAACATGCTTAACATTCCTGTGTTTTGTACACCAACCCTATTTCATTAGCTCCCTCCCCTTCTCATCATTGGTTAATTATATGCCCCTAAAAGACAGGGGATTTATAAAATTGTGTGCACGTGTGCTCATAACTTTTTTTCTCACAAATTATTTTCACCACATAGACAAATAGATAAATGCAAGGCCAATGCATAAGATTCAGTGGCTTTTATGAGTAGGGAAATAGTGTAGTCTAGTGCTTTGTTGGAGATGTAAGTCATCTAATTCTCCCTAAACCGGGGTTAAAACTAGGGAGAAGTATTAAGCAATATTTTTCAGTCTGTTTGCAAGTATGAAATAGGTTCAGAGATGTTTCTGTTGGGCTTCAAGTTCAAGGAAACCCATGCACATCTAGACTTTTTTAAGTCTCATTAATAGGTCCCATTTAAATATATTCAGGGCCTCTAGTTATATTGTCTATCAGGTAACTCATTCTCCTCACGTTTCCCTCCTACCCCCGCCTTTTTTAGATAAATGTGTTTGGGGAAATATTCATCATCTTGGTAAAATGCAATAACTAAGCAAACAATTAAATATATTAAATATACCAAAAGCTAGATAATCCAACAGCAGTAATGATCTGCAGCAAGTTTAACTACTTCCAGTTCTAGAAACAGATTTATTTTATCACCATTTCTGTGCTTTTTTTTTATCTTCACTTTTTTGAGTGGCTGGATGGAATTTATATTTTTACAAATGCAAGATGGAAAATGATACACCGCTTTTTATTTGGTACAAATATTGACAGCTTGTCCAAGTTCTTTTCTCATTTTTAATGTTGTGGATTAGAATATTTTTTTCAACTGTAAATAAAATAAAGAGAGACAGTCTGGTCTAAAAGTTAAGGCACCAAATAGAAACAGGATACTATGAATTCTAGTCCCACCTTAGGCACGAAAAAGTCAGTTGGGTGACTTTGGGCCAGTCACTCTCAGCCCCACTCACATAACAGGGTTGTTGCTGTGGTTAATATAGCAAAAGAAAGGTATATTAAATACATTCACTGGCTTGAGCTATTTGTAAAATAATGAAGGTAGGATAAAAAATAAATTGGCATTATTGAATTGCCTCCCACAGAGTGCCAATCTGTAACCCAATTCATGCCAAGATGAAAAGACAAGATTAGAAGAACAACCGTTGTTGGTTATTCATTTACAATTAGATTGGCTATTCACTTACATTTAAAAGATCACAAGCATCAATAGCAGGTTCACAGTTTTGTCCTTCTCCTTTAACATAGAAGAAGGGATGAAAAGTCAAGAGAGAAACTTTATCACTCATAATTCTTTTATAATTGTTTGACATTTTTATCACTTAAGAGTGCCAAAGAGTTAAGAGCCAAAATATTTTGGAAGAGACTTTATAGATGGGACAACTTAATAGAACTTTGGCTAGAGATTTACTATCACCAAGGGATTTGAGATATTATTGGGTTAATAATTTTGAACATTCCCGTGTGATGTTATTGTAAAATAATAAACTTCTTGGATCAGATCACTTGTTTATTTTCTTCCTCAATGGTTATATGGGTGCCTTCAGAAAACCCACAAACAAGGAATGAAGATATTATCTATTGATGTAATATCACACTTCGAAATATTTATTTTCACTACTGTAGCTGTTCAAAGAAAAATCCTTCTTAGGAAGTTCAGGCACTGAAAGAATCAAAGAGAAATTTAGATCTATCTATCAAGCTATATTGGCAAAGACATCAGAAAACTCTCAAAATCAAATTCCGAGGAACCAAACAAGTACAAAAGCAAAAGTCAAAAGGTCTGGCTCCATTTTCATTTCTTTGTCTTTGTTCATATCACATTTCTTCCTCTGGAACTGGCTGAAACCCATGTCAGAAAAGACATCCAAACCCATAATGATCAAGGCTAGGGATCCAGGAATTATGAGTAATACAGAAAGTAGTGAAATTCAGATGCAGATTAGAATTTTACTTTGTGGATCATGATCTCAATTGTGTGGCTTATGTGTTTTGGAAGGAAGAGATTCAAATAATAGCAACTAAAATCATCTGGGTTTTTTTCCTTTAGCATATTCTGTCTTTTCTCCTTTTTTTGAACCTTGATATCATAATAAAGATTTGAATTCTTAGTCAATCACTCACTAACCTTCATTCTAGGGAAAACCTCTGTAACATATTTTTCCAAATTCAGTGGCAAGAGATTGCCATCCGTTTACATTTTAGTAAACCATGACAAAATGGGATTTTTCTAGGAAAAAGTGCCGGGTAGCAACTGAGGTGGCTTCTAACTATTGAGTGGAAAGTTCAGGAAGATTGGATAGATAGTTTGGGCCTCTCCCACTAACCCCACCACCACTCCCCAGAGGCAGCAAGCAGGGCCTACTACAATCTACCACATTCTGTGTATACTCACACGTACTATGTCCCTTTCCAGTAATGGCAAAACCTACCATTGGGAACTCATTCTATCTTTTTAAAAATTATAACCCAGCTTCTGGCAGCAAACATAAAAATAATCCCAGTTTGATTTACCAGGAATATTTATGCTGTTACATTTTTAATCAACTAAACTGAATTTGGAATGATTTGGAATATATTTGCTTTTTATAAAAATATGTTTCTTATAAACTATCATATTTGTTTATTTCTTTTGACTATTTAGCTGCAATCACCCATGTTAACTAGAAAAATTACAATACTGACTCATGGTACAGATGTTATAATTCAAACATTTGTTTTCAGAATATTAAGTTTTCTTTTGAGTAATCAACAGACTATATAAAAATTTGGAAAATGTAGATGACTTTCAGGCAAAAAATGTGGGATGGATCACTACATTCTGGCAAGTTCTTTTCCAAAGTAAAATATCCTATAATTCCAAGCCAGAATGGTAGAGAGCATTAGACCAGGAGAGACTTATGTAAAACCAGGTCAGGAAAGATTCCTCCCCACCTCTCTGGCTTTTATGACATGTATTTTAATATCTTCAAAATGCAATGTGAATTCAGTGTAACTGGATGATGTGCTATTATACTGAGCCTCATTGTACAAGCTCACATAACACACAATGTCACTGTTTTATTTTGGTTTTATAACCGTTATATAAAGAGAGACAGCGGTTAGGACACATGAATTATAGTCTCACTTAAAATCAGCATTTACACTGATTTTACATTGCATTTACATTCAGCGAAGGACAGTCCTTTTCTCTCATCCTTAGGAAGGAAACAATGGCAAATCCTTTCTTTGCCAAGAAAACTGCAGGGATTAGTCCAGTTGGTTATACTTTTAACCCAGCTCAAGTGTTTGTTTAAAAAGTTTATTAGGTATAATATCAGAAAAATTAGATAAGAAAAGTTTGTATTTAATATTACATGTTGTAACAGCAGTGAGGGTTATATTTGCACAATATTGGAAAAATGAAGAAATACCATGAGAAGAGATAATTAAGAAGATACGAGACTGTGCAGAAATGGATAGATTGACACTGAAAATTAAGCAGAAAGAAGACACAGAATATTATCAAACATGAAATCTATTTTACCAGTGGTTGGAAAAAACGGGGTGGAGATTAAGAATATATTCAGAATTGTTAAGCAAATTAAATACCCAGACAACATGATGTTTATTAAGCAGTAAGAAATATAATTAATAAAAAATCAATAATTTTTTTTTGGGGGGGGAGTGTTTGTTTAAACAGGAATGCAGGATATAAATTCAATAATATAAGTGGCAATAACCAGCTGCCAGCTGGATTAGGCATTACTGAAGAATTGAAGATAGTCTCCATTACTCAGGGAAAAGCATCACAGTGTCATTACCTCCTAGTTTAATAATACATTGCTTTTTCTCCAGCAGCACAAAGTACAGTAGCACACACACAAAAGTCCCTCCTCCCATTCCCTCCCTCCTCAGCAAGTACAGATTCGGTTGAGCAAGAGTCTGCAATCTCCCAGAGAACTTTAGTTGATGGTCTCTGGTCCCAGTGCAACATGAAGAACTACTTCCAAAGTCTTTTAAGGACGAAAGTGTTTCTGCTTCTCTCCAAAATCACCTATAACCAAAAAAAGGGGAAAGGGGATTATTTTCCTATTGTATACACAATATTTCAGAGTTGTAATCTTCTTTCCTCAAATTCTGGTAAAACAAAGAATGTCCTTGCACATCACCTTTGGATGCGAAAAAGTCAGTGTAAACGAATTTACACAGTCCCTTTATTCAAACGCCAGATCAGGGGTATTCTTGTGACGGTTACAGCATATAAGGATCGGATGAGATAATAGCGCTTCTATAAATAGTGCGTAGGCAATATTGTAGGCAGATATGGACTGCATTCCCCAGAGTCCTCTGCGGCGCGCCTACGGCAAGTGAAGAGTTCTAATGAAAAAAAAAAAGGGGGTGGGGGCTTGCCTTTGAACCGCTCCTTGACCCTAAAGGAATTTCGATGCTGGAAGCAAAGTGCCTATCGCTGTGTTGGCGATATTGGTTTACTACCGTAGCTTCTACTTTCTCTCCCCCGTTTTTCCAAAGCGGTAGACTAGGGTTCTCCGAAAGAGGAGTGGAAAGATCCTCGTGGCAGTGGGTGGTTTGCAGACATGGACACTTCTGGGAAAGTAAGAAATGGTTTGTTCTTCTTAGGGAAGAAGTAAACTAATCTAAGCTGTAATTAACTAATTTAAAAGGGAAATGCGTTTGCTGATTTGTGGTTAATGTTTGGTGCGAGCCCCGCTGTTAAGATATGTAAATTATGGCTGGTGTTTCCCTTTTTTTGTGTAGAAAGTACAGCTTATACCAGGGGTCTCCAACCTTGGGAACTTTAAATCTGGAGGACTTCAACTCCCAGAATTCCCCAGCTGGGGAATTGTGGGAGTTGAAGTCCTCCAGGCTTAAAGTTCCCAAGGTTGGAGACTCCTGGTTTATACAGTAAACCACAGTTAAGCAAAACCAGGGCTTAATGCACAATTTAAGATGGCATACCTTCTTTGCATGCTTTCTATGAAATAATGGCAACAGTAAGATTTAATGGAACAATGTGCAAGAATTATTTAGCTAGAAACCTATTTTTTGTTTAATTGTATTCAAATATACACTAGACTACAATTGCCCCAAGACAGCGTTGCCACTTGTTGCACTATGGGTAATGTTCAATGTCAGTGGGTAATTTTGTCTTGTTTTGTGCATCAGGATTTATCCTTAAACGGAGAGATCCTAAGTAAATAGATCTTAATGGCTTGGCTTTGCAAGACTTTAGCCGTAGTTATTGCACTACGCGTCATTTAGTAAGCCTAATGCAACACAGATGGGTGGCATTCTCAAAATACACTAGAGTAAAATGCGGTTGACTTCTTTGTGGTTCACTATAAATCCAAAAAATATGTTCAGTTGGATCAATTTCTACTTAAATATGTTTACAGTTTGGGGGCGATTGATGTAGGGGTTAAGGCAGAAAAGGGGAAATTGTTCTAATCCCACCTTAGACACCAAGCCAACTGGGGGACCTTGAGCCAGTCACACTTGCCTAGCCCTTGGAAGCAGACAATGGCAAACCATTTCTGAAATCTTGCCAAGAAAATGTCACGGAGCTGTCCAGGCAGCCACCAGGAATCAAGATTGCTGTGAAGGCTTTCTACCACCTAAAAGGATTACAACTGCAATCTAATTTCCATACTATTGTAGCCAGATTGGCATACATATAACTAGGGATTTAGTTTGCAGGATGTTCTAGTGCACACATGGCTGCATCATCCCTTACTTAGAACATACAATATGCAATAATGTATAATACATTATCTAATGTGTATATGATTTCTGTAAAATGTATTAGGCCATATTATAAGTCACTGATTGCACTGACTAGGATTAAAAACCTCAGGAAGAAAGTGATTTGTTAAGATAATATTGTTAATGTATAATTGCCCAAAGAGGAAAGGGCGCCCTCTTGCACCACTAAACTTGGGGTCATAGCTCAGTTGTAGATCACATTTCATTCACTACTTTGTCCAAGTTTCAAAGTAAATTAAAAATGGACATTTTTTTAGGTAGCTAGAAGCCAGAATTAACATTTTGGGAAAATGAATTCATGTTATGCCACAGAGAATACGAAATTTCTGATGGGAGAGGGAATTTGTCAGGAGGGCTGGGCACACACAATACAATTTTTTAAAAATATGTATGCCTAGGTTGCTTGCAACTTGCTCTAATAGTTGTCTCAAAAAGTAGGAAAGTACGAACAGTTTTCAACCCCTCTGGTCAGAGGGTGCTCTAGAGATGAGAAAGATTACGACTCTCAGATGTACAGTGGATAACATGATGGACTAATTTCTACTTTCCTAAATGGCAAAGAAATCCCTCCCTCCACATGTGCCTTGTTGTGCTCCTTTATTGCAGAAAATGTGTATTATACGGAAGGGTCCATGGGTTAAAGGTTTTATTAAAATGACTAGAGCATCATTATATCCTTTTGATGCAAGTTCAGCTCCTTTGGTACATATGTACATCTTCATGATGCATGTCCAAAGGCGAGCTTGTG